GGTTCACAACAAAACAATTTAAAATCAGTAAAAACATAAATAATACAAATATAAAATACAATTATTAAATACAATATCTTGTATAAGCATTTGGAAGGGGATCTTTGGGACTATGGATATTGTGCTTCCCCTGCCCCCAGCAGTCTCTTTGGAAGAGGACCTGGAGCTTCTCAAGAAGCCATATGTTCCTGGAACATTATGATTGGCAAGTATGTCTCTCTCTCTCTTTTTTTTTAATATAATTTTTATTGGATAATTTTTTAACAAGATAAAAGGAATACAAATATTAGAAAAGAAAGAAAATAAAGAATAGTGAATAAGCAAGAAAGAAAATAGAAAAAGAAATAGAAAAAGAAAAGAAATAGAAAAAGAAAAGAAATAGAAATAGAAAAGAAACAAAAGGAAAAGGAAAAGGAAAAGAAAGAAAAGATTATAAAGAAGTGGCTTCCAATCTTTTCGACAGTGGTTATAAATGCATTTATATTTTACCCTCATTCTCTAAGGTTATATCATAATTTCTTGATTCCATAAGCTATCCTTTCTAACTGTCGAACCCATAAATCTCAAGTTCATTTTTTTCTTTTTTCAGCAAAAAGTCCATAAGGGGTTTCCAGTCACTAATAAATGTAATAGTTGATATTTCTCTAAGCAAACAAGTTAATTTTGCCATCTTTGCTAATTCCATCATCTTCACCAATTATTCCTTCATTGTGGGTATATCAGAGTCTTTCCACATTTGTGCATATAAAAGTCTCACAGCAGTAATCATATATAAAAATAGACTTCTGTGGCTTTTTCTAGTTGTCTGTCCATTAATCCCAACAAGAAAAGTTCTGGTTCAGTTGAATGTTAGTCATTAAAATTCTTTGTATCGGTATATGTAGTTGAACCCAACATTTTCTGGCTTTTTTATAAGTCTACCAGGCATGATAAAATGACCATTCGTGTTGCCCACATTTCCAACATAAATGTAAAGACCCTTATACATTCTAGATAATTTTTCTGGTGTCACATACCAACGGTACATCATTTTATAGAAATTCTCTTTTATGTTATAATATAACGTGAATTTCAATCCTTTCAACCACATGTTTTCCCACTGTTCCAACAATATGTTATGTCCAA